ATAACTGATTGCAAGATTATAACTGTCTTGCATCTTGTGCTCTAGAGAAGCAGGACTTATGGAAGCCTGTTGTTCTTCAATTAATTGAAGAAACATCTGCTCCATTTTATTTTTATATCATTTGGATCTTTGAAATCCGTCTTATCCGGATTTGTGCCATCACAACATGTGACCCGGCTGCTTCTGCCTGTGGGACTCATTGGCACAGCATGTGACTCAGGGTAATTGTGTGGTCACAGTGCTACAGAAAGGGCAAGCACACTGGTAGAGGACTAACTACAGGCCACGTCACTAAAATAGAATGGATATGCAAAAAAGTGGAAATAAATATGAAACAATCTTGTTTCATAATGCTATGATGGAATAAGACAAGGAAACTGAAGAACATGCTTACTGTCGTGTTTATCTTTTAGATTGCATATTTTTTATGACAAAATCCCAGAGCATCATAACATTAATTTTGTGTATTTTCAGAGCCTCATCTGCTAGAGATCAGGTGCCATATTTAGTTAGACCTTGATGGCAATTGAAAAGAAAGTTCAGAGAACATATGAGACCAGAGCCATTGCCAGTGGGTACCTCCCGCCCAAGAGCAGATATCAGCTACTCAAGGGCATCGGCAGCTGCAGCAGCAGCAACCCTGTGATCCCAGTATTCCATCTTTAAACGTCACACATTGCAGCTGCACAAAATGCTTTTTCTTACATGCGAGCCGTTTCCTGAGAGATAATTAGATGGAGCTGATGAACGCTCATAAGTGAAGAGCTGCAGAACTTTTTTGCCGTATCGGCCGATCAATGGTTTGTGGGAAGAAACAACAGAAACCTGACTCGCATGGCGACAGGGGGGAAAGTGTTCTTCACATGTGCACACATGCATGCTTACAGGTTTTATCCGCTGCTCCCAATCCAATGCAAACTGCAATTTGCATTTGATTGCACAGCTGGACTCCGCTGCCCAATGACACTAAGAATTGAAAGCAGTCGGTTTGAACCCATGCTAGTCTAGCGGAGGGGCTCCGTGCCGTCACCCTGCGGGGCTGGGAGCGCGGGGCTCACGGGCTCTTTCCCCGCAGCGGGAGCCGTGAACGGCGGCGGCGGCGGCCACAGCCGCCCCCACAGCGAGAGCAGCGGAGAGTTCAGCCTGGGCCTGGACGCCGAGGCCTGGTCCAGCAGCAGCAGCCCCATCCAGCCGGCCCAGAGGTCCTCGCGCCAGAGCCCCCTGCTGTTCCGGAGGACGCTGGACGTCCCCGCGCAGCACAAGAAGAAGACGGCTTCCCCCGGCAGCGAGGTGGTGACCCTGCAGCAGTTCCTGGAGGAGAGCACCAAGGGCTCGGCGGAGGTAGGCGGCCAGAGGGGGTGACCACCCGACCAAAGCGCTGGGAGTTTTTTCCCCAGAGGAGTTTGCAGCAGCTGTTCGGATACACATTTACAGACTGCGATTGTGACAGGAATGTGTGCAAATTATCTACAGATCTGACCGATGACTGAAGTTTACAAAACCCACGATACACTACAAAACTGGCTCAAGAAAAGGGGTTTGAACAGCTTTCAGCGAGCATGTGCCAAGGCTGTTACAGACATTGAGTCACAACTGGAGGCAAGCTCGTATGTTTAAATAATCCACAAAGTGAGCAGTATTCAAAAATGATCTCTGCTGCTCGCAAATGTTCGGAAATGTTCCAAAACCAGTGTTCTAAAATTATCCCCACCGCTCCCTATTACTTTCCCAATTGCTGCTAAATATTCCTATGTGCTTCCAAAATCTTATTGCTTAATCCCCAGTGACTGTGCCAGCTCTACAAATCTGTAAATCTCAGCTTTGCAGTTGTTTTCTGCCTTTTGAACATTTTTTTTTTTTTTGGCGCATGTACTTTTCTAAGACTTCAGTAATCAACCACTTTTCTAGCAGGATAAAAACTATATAAACTCGTGTTTTAAAGGCAGTACCGGAGTTCAACTGCTGAAGCCATGCTGCCAGGGCCTAACGTTTCCCTGCCTTCTCCCTGTTTTCTGGGAACCCCAGTCTGGCAGCCAGGAGAACCTTGCGGGCGAGGCTCCGAGGAGAGGCAGCGACAGCTCCGAGCCAGCCAGGAAGGAGAAGGAGAAGGAGAAGGGGGAGAGGGGCCCCCCCTCCGGCCCCCGAGGGATCATGCGGTCGGCGAGCGGCAGGACGCCGGCGGACTTCTCGGAGGGCCGGCCGCCCAAGCCGGGGCAGGCCAGGCCCGGCCTGCGGAAGGCGGAGAGCACCCGGGTCAAGGGCACGGCCCCCAGGCCCATGCTGGGGGCGCACGGGAAGGCCACCTCCATGTCGGAGAGGCTGGACAGCGCCCTGCTGCAGGCGGCGCCCCGGCCGAGGGACGCCACCGCCACCCTGCCCCGCGCCAGCAGCGTCATCTCCACGGCCGAGGGCTCCACGCGCCGCACCAGCATCCACGACTTCATGTCCAAGGACAGTAGGCCGCCTGTGTCTGTGGACCCCTCGCCCGCTAAGGCCGGCCCCAGTGAGTACCGAGACCACCCCCCCCGCCCCGTGGAGCCCCCCGCCAGCCCTTCCTCTCCCGCCCCCCGCCCCCAGGCCGCGGGGCCCGGGCCGCAGTCGTGTCCAGGCTCCCCCTCCGAGGTCGATTCCGTTTTCCTCGACCTGGCGGAGCAGTGCGGGGAGCCTCCCGTCAGGAGCCACCCATTCCTGTCTCTAAACACCGCCTTAGTGAGCAACATCAGCGGGCGGCCTGCCAGGCCCGGCGCGCGGTGCCCCAACGCAGCGGCTGTGTCGCCAGGGCCCGGGCCGCGGGCCGAGCGCGACGCCGGGCGCCCTGGCCCGCTGAAGTCCGATTGCGCCGTTGAGCTCCCCGCTGTAGAGCGCGTGAACGGTCCTGCCGGTCCCCCGTCGCCAGCGTTGGCTTCCGAGGACAACCAGTCCCTGTGGTATGAGTACGGCTGTGTTTAACTTTCTGGCCTGATGGTTGATACAGACACAGCGACCACATGCTTCGTTTTTTTAATGTCAGTTCCGCCACCGCGAATTCCTCCACACCGAGGGCACTGGTTAATTTTGTTTTTCTTTTTGCATTTGTCGAAAATCCCAGCCAATTTAACACGGTGTTTTGGGCTTTTGTTGTAGAAAAGATGGCCGTTTGTAGGTGATTTATACACCATAAACCCTTTGACACATTCACAAAGGATTGTTAATCACAATCAGATTGCTAGAGCTCCGTCACAGTGCCTCTGCGATGACTTTCACAGTCACACGGGGACACTTGGAGTTTGTCGTGTGAGCTTCCACCACAACCTCAGCTCTGAGCTCTCAGCTGAGCCTCTCCACTCTCTCACATTCCAGCGATGACTCACTGACCAGATATCCTTTCTTACACTATCAGTTCGGAAGACACTCAGATAGGCTTTAAGCCTCTCTTGGAATTAAACCTTTCAAAAGAACAAATGATAACGCCCCAGTGTTAACAACCTCCTTGCTTGAAGGTTTTCATCAAAACAAGCTGAATGAAACCGGCGCTGAATATGCAGGAGGCCTGTGCTGTAAACTGGATTTTCACTTGAGCTAAATACTGCCACACAGACAAACCCCACTGTGTAATAAAACCACAGATAGTATCCAAGTAAAAATTGGATACAGTTTTATTAGTAAAAATAATTGCACAAAATACCAAAGCAAAGGAATATATTCCTTGTACACTACATTTTTATCTTGTGAGATTGTAATTAAAATTACTAGATTTTCCAGATCACATTACACTGGAATTACGCTGGAATTACACACACCATGGCCCAGTAGGTATTTACTGACCTGGCACCTTAAATAATATACATCATCTCCTTTAATTGTCACCCAGGAGCCTTTCCGAAAGAAGCTTAGAGACAGAAGTGTGTGCCCTGGCGGCCTGTGCTCCATGCTGTGGAATGCGTTTCTTGCATTTCTCTTGTTTGTCTCGCGTGCGGACATATCTGCATGGTCTTATTACACTGCATGTCTGGGCCCTCTGTTGCTTCCAAGAAAACCAGATTGCTTAAGCAAGTGTTAGTCCTAAGACACCATTTTGATTGTTCATATCAAAATGAGCCTTCGTGTACTTGCGCATAAGTAACCTGCAGTGTGTGAAGAGGAGTCTGAAGTACAGTATGTGGTTCTTGTTATTTTGAGGAGGTGGAAATTGGTCTTTGTATGTTCATGATCGATATCCATGTGAACACTTTGCTCTTTGGGTTCTTGTATGTTTCGTGTGCAAGGCGGTTATAATGTCTTTAGTATACCAAGGTAGACCATGTCTTCCAGGCAGTGTGGAGGAGTGGTTAGGGCTGTGCGTTCACACCTGGAAGACTGTAGCTGTAGATCCCCACTCTGGTTCACCTGACATGACGAGGGTCTTCACCCGAATTGCTCCAGTACAATACCCAGATGTATACACAGGTACATTTAGTTGCTTAACATAAAGGTGTTTGTCAGGTAAATTAGTAAATGATTCATTTAATCAATTGATCTGCAGTCTCCAATAATTGATTGATCTATTTGTATATAAGTATGAATAATTATATAATTATTAATTGCTATATTGGTGACCTGTAATTGACTGGTCTCACACCCGTGTCTACAGAATGGATGTCACTGTCACCACAGAGCTCTGGACAGTTTCATCAGATTCATTAAAGGGCCCTTCCCCAGTGTTCAGGTTCCAGCAGGGTAAATTATAACCACCTTGTAGGAAAACACACCCCGGCCGCAAACGCAAGACCACTGTAGCGAATGGCACTGGGGGCATATGAATGTCACCGCTGAACATCATTATGCTTACAGTGATTATGAACAGTATTAAAGGATATAACCCACCTGATGGAGAAATAATGTCACATGCCTTTGTTCTGCAGATGTGGATGGTTTACAAGAGCGCAGAAAGTCAAAAGGCAGGACTGCGGAGCAACATAGCTCCTAAACATAGCCACCCTGCCTCCATCAAAAGTGGGCTTAAGTGGTGAGTTTCTTGCACAGAGTGTTCATGGGCAAGGTGGGGAAAACCCCAGTTAACAGACTAACAGCATCCCGTACGGCATACAGAATGCACTCTGTAACAAGGGTATAACACTGTATGTGCTTGCTTTCGAATTGGCTTTGTCTTTTCACCCAAGTAAAAAACAAGCTGAGCTGCACTGCTGGACCTCTCATCTGCATGCCTCTGCAGGGGCACCTGGGGTTTTGCTTTGCACAAGTGTCCATGCCATAGCTTCTTCATATGCAATGCATTTTCTTTTTTCCATTTGCCAAGCTTGATGGTTCAGCCGTTCTTATGTGTTGAATTAAAACGAGCAGCTGGCTGTGAAAGTTAGCCAAGTGTTATCGTTCAGTAGCTCTCCACAGTGTCATTTCACACAGTAGCGCATGGCTTCATTGTCCAGGGGCTGGAACTCGCCAAGCTCCCCAGTCCTTGTGCTCGAGCGCATGCCCTTTCTGTACTGTCTGTCCTTTTGTACGCGTCTGTGCTGTAGTTCTAACTTGCTTATTCTCTGCCTCTCTTTCAACCTTTTTTCTGTCTGCCTCCTACTCAGAGAGAAAAGTGACCTTCAAGCTGTCGTTTTGAAGCCTTTAATTCTGCTCTACTGAGACGGTCTTCACTGAGAAATTAGTGTGTAAATCCTGTTTTGAAAATAAAACACGAAAACCCTTCTTCAGTAGAAAATGCTAGATTTCTCCCCTTTCCTTGAATCAAGGAGCAATATGGGACTCCCTCCAAGAAGTATATTGTGAAGAGTTTTTTTTTTCTTTTTTAACATACTTTTACGGCAAATTGCACTGCTATCTGGATTTTACATACTGCTAATAATGCATACTTACATGGACCAATTTTCTGTGCCAAGACTGATTTGTGGTAAAGAACACAAGCTTTTTATGGACCCTAAAGATTCAGCCATATCTTGTGTGTAGCCTTTGCCAGACTTACCAGTTTACCATTTGCTCTCTTTGTAAATGAGAAGCATGTGTACGCAAGTGTTAATTGTGCTGAACTGCTGAGCCTGGGGTATAAAAGATCTGCACAAATGTAAGTGGACACCCAAGCCGCTCGACCACGTGCTGCATGAAGCAATCAACGCATTTCTCCCTCAAGAAAAATGGTATTGCTGCAAGTTCTCCTTTCTAGTTTGTTTGTTTTTGTAAGACATACCAAAATACTGTTAACACTATGAGAAAATGTAAATCGCTTTCCTTTGAATTGTTGCTACAAAGGTTGTGTGTGCTGAAATGTATGACTTACTGTATCTTCAACCTCTGGATACAATCATGTGGAAGAGGTGGTTTCTTGAGTGAAGTTGCAGGTGGTATTCCTTCATTCTAAATATCATTATACAGTGAATGACTGTGACTATGTATAGTTCATTTCCTTTTTCACTTTTTCACATAAAGGTGTTTGATGTGGGCAACTATTAATGCTTACTGTGGCTTTTGTGTAATCATTGCATCTCATGCAAATCACAGCTGTTTTTTTCTGCACACCTGTTCCGTACCCCGTTTTGTAACCTTGCACTGTTATAACTGAGGTTTCCTTTGTTTTCATTTGAACAAGATCAAATGGGCAGCTGAAGCAAATGTCTGATGAGGATTCTGATCCTGTGCTAACAGCAACAGATTCTCCTCACCACGTACAGACAGTACACAGTGGGAGGTTTATGATATCAGGCGAGATGCTGAAAATATTGTTTCTAATGGTTGTGAAAGACTCTGTTGAGGGATTGCCCTGCTGAGTCTGAGGATTAAAATGGTTTGCTTTCACAATCAAAGTACGCTGAAAGTTGAAACTTCTCTTTCCAGATAGTCTGATTCCCGATTTGTCCCCAAGACCTTATTGTTCCTCTTCCACAGTTATTTAGCTGGTAAATCGAGGTGCTTTACCTTCTTCTCAGGTTCAGGAATAACAGTAATAATGGTAATAATAATCTCTTTCTGATATGGCTTGCTTCACTCAACAAAAGAGGTTTCCCAGAGCCAGTCTGGTTCCCTTCTGTAAAAAGCTACACCAGCTGCAGAGTTCATGTACCTCTGTGTGGCACTCCGGTCAGCTTTTCAGTGTCCCTTAGGAAGAAACCTCCGTTGCAGGAATGTGTTCTTCCCATTCTGAAACTGAAAATGTTTACACTGCAGACACCTTATTTTAACTTGAATTGAATAACTTTGCAGAATTAAAAAAAATATATTTTTGAACTTGTAATCAATGTTTAACAATTGAATAGACCAACACATATGGGACAATATATGTCTCTATGTCCTGTACTTAATGGCATCCACCCCCCTTTATTTATGGTTCATCATTGCTTTTTTAGGTCATTCATCATTAAATCATCTCTTGCAATCTGAAAGCGAGTTGCACACTTACTTAGTGTACAGAAGACCTAATTGCAAATGGGTAAGGCAATGTTAGCACTATTTTTATACAGGGACCTAGTTCACTTTTTCACTGCAGGAAAAACATCTCAGACTAGACCTCCTCCTTTGACCAGGCCTGTTAAACACAAACCCAGACTAAGTTAATCGTTAATTCCATCAAAAATGCATCAGATTGTGAGAGCTGTGAAATGCATGCTTTCTCACCTTCCTTTTCTTCTGTGCCTGTTTGTCATTGATCTCTTTTACTCCCACATTCCTGTATATATTGTGAGTGAGGGTGAAAAAACCTCAGAGAGCAACAGTCATACCTCAACACTTCAGCAAAATCTTGTTCTGTGTACAACTACATTACAGTAGTGGGATTGTAAGTCTTGCATTGTTAAGATCTTCCTTATGCCTTCTTAATGCACGGTGCATTCACCTGGTAAGGTTTTCAAAGATCATCTCAGAAAAGGTAAGTACATATGATATTCACAAAGATCAAAAGTTTAAAATGAAGACCTAAAAAATGGAATGTCTGATTCCAAAGACTGCAGTACACATGCCAAAAATTGAGCTTGTACAGAACTTCTCAATAAAAAAAAACCTTCCAGTTTTGTGATACCCATTATCACTATCATTTGCAGATTTGCTTTTCAGATAAACAGACACTTGTAATTCCCCTGTTTTCCCAGACAGTGTTCTCACAGATTATCCAGGGAGTCCCCATGATAAACCCTATGCAGGCAAAAATATTGGCACGCAACAAGCAGTCTTGCTCTCATCGATGCAAAGGTCCCAACTGACTTTTCAATCTATCATCCTGCATTACTGCTTTGAATTATTGTTGCTAATAGGAGCCTTACTGAAACTGGATTTGCTGTGGCGTCGGGATAAATTGTGGGCTCCCTTTTGAAAGCGATCACTTCAAAGGGGGATCCCCCAGTCAGAACTCTTGGTTACCCTTTGTTAAAAAAAAAATGAAATAAAAATCAGTACGTATGAAAAAAGTTAAAGGGCCCCTTTGATTTCTTTCTTCATCAGTAAACCGCAAGCGTGGGCTGTGGAGTAGCCTGGGGTGCTGTGGAACACTAGACTCGGGATTACAGATGTGGTCTGCTGTGGCGATGGCACAGGACCACATGTTTTTTCTTTCATACGCTTTGCACAGGGTGCAATGTGCAGACACTTCCTGGATTGCAGATAATAGGCCTCACTCCTAGCCTGGTCATTTCGGTGAGTTTTAATTCGCAGTGTTGCGAGACCAGGTCTTTGATCTGAGGCAGCAGTCATGATGGGGGTGGGGTTGTGGTGGCTCTCCAAATTCTCCTGCATATTAGACTGCAAATCCAGTGCGCTGCGGATAGGTTTTACTGCATAGTCGAGATATTACTCACAGACACGGCCCACAACATCTCTACCCATTCATGCAAAATCTGCAACAGCATATTTCTTCAGTCACTTCAGGGTCAGTCTGTGGTTGCTGGTTTCATTTTCAGCTCATTTATGGGGGGAAGTGGGCCTTACAACACATCCCAATGAAATGCAATTTGTTTTTTTGTTTTAAACAATACAGTTCTTAACATCAGAAATATCATGGGTTAGAATGGCCTCTTGGACTTGTGTAACTATTCTCTGCAGTTTAGTTAAGGAAACCATTCATCTTTGAAATAGAAAAACATTTTTTTTAAACCCGGTTCACAGAAGGTACTGCGTAAAGGCCTAAATATTTTGGTCTAAAGGTTTAATACATAAGATACAGACCACAAGAATATCACAGAAAGATGTTTTCCAGCGAACGCTGCTCTGGGTGAACCCTTCCCGTTTTGTATACTAACTTACTTCCCCCTGCACAACCCGGACCTTAAAACAGTCCAGATGAGACTTCTCCAAAGCCTGCAGTTGGAAAAACAGAAGTGAAAATGGGAATTGGCGAAAGCACACTGCTCACTGTGTGATTTCTAAAGAACCGCGCCTTTGACAACACGCACAATCTTCTCTGGGAAAGTTTGAGCTTTTTCTGAAGAGCTCTGCAGCATGTTCGCTCAGAGCACCTGGAAACAATCCTGCTTGGAGAAAACAATGGGCTAGACGCCTCTGGAGCCAGAACAAAACAGAAAGGGTCAAATTCAACCCCCATACGGAGTGTTTATTCCATCTGCTTGCAGCTTTACTCTACTAAGAACTGTAGCTCACTCGAAGCTTTCAAGAATGGGTTCGTGCCCAGTTTCCTTTAAAAAGCGCAAGAAGTCCTCCGGCTTCAGCCCCATCGTGGCCGCATTGGTCATGGGGTGAAAGTACAGCCGGTCGTGGCCCTCGCTGACCAGGCCGCTGTCCAGCACGAGCCGGACGCGCCGCCCGCGGTCGCAGAAGAGCGCCAGGGGCGTGGCGCAGCCCTGGCCCACCCGCAGCGCCTCCAGCATGGCGGCCTCGTCGGCCAAGCGCAGGGCGCCCCTGCCCAGGCCCAGCCGCCCGGCCAGCGCCGAGAGGTCCACCCGCCGGTCGTGCCGGGCCGTGACCAGCCACAGGCCCTTCCGCTTCTTGTCCCTCAGGAAGAGGTTCTTGCTCACCGCCCCCCCGAGGTGCTGCACGTGCGGCATCATCTCCTCCACCGTGAAGACCTGGCGGGACACGAGCAGGGGGGCCGGCGTCACTCTGAGGCCTTCGAACCCGTCTCCCCCAGGACCGGGCCCTTCGCTGCAGGCCCTACTGCTCAACACTGGAAGAAGCAATGAACTCGGGCAAGAGCACATCCTTACCCTTGATAATAATAATAATAATAATAATAATAAAGAACCTCAGGAAGACATGGTGCTGCTCTCAATCTAGAAAATACTGGACGCCTGCAGCCAAAAATACACTCTCCCTAAAAGTGTATTTGTGTAATAGTTACATTTCTACAACAGATTACCCTGTGGACTATATTCTTACAAACATCCCTCCATATTCTTGTGGAAAATGGGCACACTGCCCTTTTTTAAGGTATTCAACTACTGCTCGACTATGGCAGTAAAAGCTGCCCAGGAGTTTTCTGCACATCAACACGGGACCGAAGCTCCATCCATGCAGTGGGCGAGACTGCTGGTCTGTCCTCATGCTGTTACTCAAGTTTGCTCAGTGCCAGGGCGCCCCCCAGCGGTTTTCTTACGGCAAGGTTTTTTGCAGGAAACTGCGGGCTTTGTGCCCAAAATGGCCTGCGATAGTTAACTGCAGAGCAAACCCAGTGGTTCATAGTAACCGATCACATTCGGTTCAAGTGCGATATAAGCCATAACATGTTCCGTAATTAGGAAAACGGATTTGTTAAATGTATTCAATAGAAAACTCATCGTATTAGAATCCTGAACGTAACTGCGCCCCCCGCTGTCAACAAGTTGCTATTAACTTGGTAGTATTGACACGTCAAAGTTTCTGAAACTGTATGAAATCAGAGGTTTTCTTTACAGAATAAGATCCGCAAGCAACGCAGGTGTTGCTGTAGAGCCCGAGACGCCCGAGTTTCCTAGACTGCTGACACTGAAACCGCTTTGATCGACAGTTAACTTCACTTGCGAATACAAACGATTTTCAGAAATGTTGCAAAATGAATTAATACCTCCGGGTGTTCCACGCAGACTGTTTCAATATTCAGGTTTTTAAGATAATCCTCCAATTCTTTTCGAAGCTCGCTAGACCCCATGTTTCCTACGTCCCGTTGGGTTTTTAATCAGTAGAGCCTGAAATGCCTGTTTTCCTGACTTGTGGTGACAGCTGCATGCACCGGGAACCCCTGTTCAGAGACCTGAGAGAGGTTGCTGACCCGCAGCTGAATCTCTATGGTGCTCAGGCTGCGGGGAAAGAGGTGCATTGTGGGTCCGGTGTCATGGCGGCGCCCATAGCTGCAGAAGAATGACTCCTGGGAAGCGGCGATTAAGTAAGCCAGTGCAGCATCCGAGCTAGAATGCGAATTGGTACAGCGACAACTGAATTACACGTCTGAGTCTGAGGTGAACTATCTCAATTATAATCCATTGTGAATGTAAATCCTTCCCGGGTTTTAAAGCTGCGTGACCGCTGCACTACGTGTGAGTAAAGGCATTAACCACCGCTTAACAGCGAAATTGTCCAACTGCAACAAATGCTAAGCTAGCCGATTTGCAGTAAGGGTGTATGATATTTGTTAAGATGAGATAAGCTATACGGATAAACTGTATCCGTATAATGGTTGAGTTATTGCAGAATCTTTTGAAATTGAGAAGAAACGAAATTAAATATCAAGGTAATCTCTTTTTAAGCGGAATGTTGCAGTGATTGTTCTATTCAATGGTGTAATGGTGTGGCTAACTGTATATGTAATATACAGTAAGTACAAAAGTACTTACAAAAGTAAGTGTTTGACTTAATGTCACGTTTTTTTTTATTTTGGTTAGCACTGAAAATAAAACTGTCTACGTGTCCAGCCTGGCTGGTTTCAATGAGCGCTCAAGGCGGTGTTTGACGGCCACTGTTCGCCGCCGAGATCTTGCGGGGTGAGGATGAGTGGGAAGGCGCTGTTCCGCCTGGAGGCGCTCCTGCGCTCCGGCCTCGCTGTCCGGCAGCTGTGGGCGCTTCGCTGCGAGGGGGCGCAGAGGATGACGTGGAGAGCGGCCGCCCCCTACCCGCCCTGCCCCGGCCTGCCCGCTGTCGCCCCCGCGCCCCCGGCCACCGGCCACCGCATCCGGCTCATGTCCACAAAGCACGTGAGTCTCCCCCTCTCCGCACGGGAGTCAGCTGCGTGAACTCCATCTTCATGCTCCTTTTACATGGTTTCTCCCTGCGCATCCTACTGCACAGCGCCTGTGTCATGGTTCTGTGCGCATGTGGGTACAGATGGTTGTACGACATACAATCGGAATGCTGTGCAACACAGGTGATTTCTCAATGGTGAAGGAGAAGAAGTGACTATAAATTCATATGTCTAGAAAGTCAAATCGGTATTGGAACGAATAGCATGTGTTGTGTTTTGAATGCCTGTGTGTGGCTGTGTGTTAATAGTACACCACAATGTTGGGCCAATTGGAGTGGAGGAATCCTACTCCGTTGGGCCCCTGAGCAAAGCCCTTAACCCCAGCTGCTCCAGGGGCGCCGTATAAATGGCAGACCCTGCGCTCTGACCCCAAGCATCTCTCCCTGTCTGTGTGTCTCTTGGAGAGCAAGCTGGGGTGTGTGAAAAGATAAATTCCTAATGCAAGAAATTGTATATGGCCGATAAAGTGATCTTATCTTAATTATCCAGAGAAATCCTAAAACTGTTTTGGATTCGTCCTTAAGCATGTTTTTGCCACCTGCTTTTTTGATTCAGGGGAAGAGCTCTGGGAAGACTCCAAAGACCAAACCCAAGCAAGAGATGCAGGAAGTGGAGATCAAACAGCGCATGACCGTGGCAGAGCTTGCTGAAGCCATGAACAGAGATATAGGTAAGGTTCGCTGGAGACAGTATCACAGTCTGCATGAGGGATGTCCATCTCTGGCCCTCAGGAGTCACTGTCCAGCAGCTCTTGTATATCTTCACATATACTTCTCTAGCTTCTCAAGATTGGCTCAGGTAGAAGGAAAAATCTTAGCACCCTTCCTACACACGGTTGGAAAGTATTTAGAAATCCTTGATTGGTTGAATGATGCCCCTATACATATGCACAACCTGTTTCTTTAGAAGATATTTAATTCAAATCCAAAGATCCCAACAATTCATTGTTTTTTAGCTGGGTTGGCCAATTTTGGTCCTGAGGAATCGCATTCCGTCTCTTTGAAATAATTAATTGGAATGCCAACGCCCTGTAGCTCTTAATGTTCACAAGTGAGCCATTTGTTACTTAAATGAATCAATTAAATGACTAAATTGAATAAAATAAGCAATTAACTCACTAAATTGACCAACACTCATCTTTTCCGGAGTTGGCCACCCATAGAAACTGCAGCTGCAGGAACAGCGATAAGCCAGGAGAAGACATGCAGATGAAGATGAGGGTTGGCTCAGATTTACCCCAGATCTGCACCAGTCCTCCATTTTCCACCATAAAAATACTGGAGTTTCAGTTTGAACAAAGACAGAACTGTAGTCACCACGGTGTTGCTCCTGCTCTTTCCTTGCCAGACCACGTCTACGAGGCTCTGCTTCACCTGCCCATTGACCTGGACTCCCTGGAGCCGCAGTCCGTCCTGCAGGACGAGTGGACGAAGGAGGCCATCAGGAAGTCTGGAATGAAGTACAGATGGGCGAAGGTGACAGAGGGAAGAGTAAAGGAAAACAAAGATGCGACAAAGAGGTAGCGCTGTCACCTGCGTGCGGGTCTTCTGACCCATTTGACCACTCCGCACATGCAGGGGGCAGGAGAGAGAGACCGAGGGGGAGTGCAAGGGTCTTTACTGTCCAGTTCTGTCCTGCCAGGGCTGTGGCTGCATCGCCAAGCCACACCAGCGCCTGTGCCAGCTCAGCTCCCGGCTGTGTTTGTCTTCCCAGGCCTCCAGCAGACCTGGCAGTCCTGGTTGCCCGCCCACCGGTGGTCACCATCATGGGCCATGTGGATCACGGCAAAACCACCCTGCTGGACAGCCTGAGGAAGAGCCAGGTGGCGGCCATGGAGGCCGGGGGCATCACACAGCACATCGGGGCCTTCCTGGGTGAGCTGAGCGACGGGCCGTGGGGCTTGGTGTCTTGAGCCGGGCATCGCCAGGGTCCGTCACCACAGACTGGTGATCAAGCACTGGTTCTGGGTCTGTCGGCTTCACGCTGTGAGGCTGTACCAGCTCTCAGCCCTTCAGCCTGAACTACTGTTCCTTCTGGTCAGCCCTTTCCATGATTGCTGAAAGGATGCTGCACCAATGCCATTAAGGCCGTTAGAAACTTCCATTTATTAAAGTGCGGCTCCAAACAGCTTTTGAGATCCCAGAATCTGATTTGTACTTCCTCAATCTAAGTCATCCTTCAGAGGTACCACCGGTCAGAGATATCCGAGAGGATGTACCTCTTCTAGGCTCTTCAGTTGGGACTCGCTGCTAAGGAGTTCTCCCTGTGCGTGTGTTGTGCCCACGCCAGCCGTTCTAATGAGGGTTAATTTGTGCCCCTCTGCCACAGTCCAGCTGCCCTCGGGCGAGAAGATCACGTTCCTGGACACGCCGGGACACGCCGCCTTCTCCGCCATGAGAGCCAGGGGGGCCCAGGTCACGGACATCGTCATCCTGGTGGTGGCCGCCGACGACGGGGTGATGAAGCAGACCGCCGAGTCGATCCAGCACGCCAGACACGCCGGAGGTGCGCAGCGACACGGTCCCGTTAACGTGATCCACGCGTGTTTCCAAACTGTCGACTCTCGAGAGTTTCAGGAACGAGAAGAGACTGGGTCCTGCCCAGAACTGGAGCACTCAGTGAGAGGTGTTGAAAGACAGCATGTATCCCCCTCAGTTTATATATACTGTATGGTGAAGGCCATCTCCACCTAGTTTCACCTTCAGGGATTAGGTGCCTTTCTGAGTTTGGGATGCAGAAAGGGTGCTTTGAGAATACTGTATATGTGGATAGAAAATTAGGTGAGGCACGACTTAGGTGCTGTTTAAGGAGGTTTTTATTTGTTTATTCTTGTGCAGTGGGCCAGTGGGAATCTGGGCTATACTCCAGACCAGAACTGAACCAGGTCAGAAGGACCTTGCAGTGCACTTCAGCTGCCTGCTTGCACTGTAGCCAAATACTGCTTCCCTGCCAGATCTTAAGTGCTTTCAAATAGGACTGCTGGGTTGAATCAAGTTATTCCCTCCAGAGCTACTTGTCTTCCAATGTGCTGAAGAGTCAAATTCTTAAGAACACAAGAACAGGTGCAAATGACAGATGCCCGTCTAGCGCATTTGGTTTGGTTGTCAATTGATCCAAGACTCTCATCCAGCCATTTCTTGAAAGAAGCCAGGGTATCGACTTTTTTGGCTCTTCACTCTTCAGTGAAATAACTGGGGAAAATATTTGTTTCGTCACCAATGCATAATTGGTTATTACGCAGTGGTTAGTATTGCTGCCTCACAGCACTGGGGCCCCGGGTTCAATTCCAGATCTGGGGTGCTGTCTGTGTGGAGCTTGTATGTTGTCTCCGCCTTGGCATGGGTTTCCTCCCACAATCCACAGACATACTGGCAGGTTAATTGTCTGCCCTGTGATGTACTGGTATCCTGCCCAGGGTGTACCCCACCTTGTGCCCATTGCTTGCCCTGCTGGGACTGGCTCCAGCTGCGACCCTGAATTGGAAGAAGCAGCTGGAAAATGGCTGTAAACTATTCCCAATGAAGAGACAGGCGGGCTATCTGAGGGCGGGGGTCTGGCCGTGTCTGTGTCGAGCAGGTGCTCAGCCCTCCACGCGTGCGTTGCAGTGCCCATCATCGTGGCGGTGAACAAGTGCGACCGGCCGGACGCCGACCCGGACAGGGTGAAGAGGGAGCTGCTGGCCCACGACGTGGTGTGTGAGGAGTACGGGGGCGACGTGCAGGCGGTCCACATCTCCGCACTGCAGGTCAGTGTCCGCGGCGCTGCTCTGCTGCCCTGGCCCCGCGGGAGATGGCGTGGGTGCGTGTCTGAATACGGGCTGGCGCATTGCCGGCGGGCCAGGTGGCAACACTGTGCTGTTACACTTTGTTTCCCTGTGTGGGATGAGACCAGAAAGAGTGGGGGCTGCCTTCAGGTGCCCTGTCAGCGATGTGGCCCTGGTTTCTTCAGAGCTGACCATTGCTGTAGCCTTTGGTTTCTAAAATACAAAGGTCCCCCTCCTTTGTAAAATTGGAGGCCATTTTCCATTTACCCTGCATTGTCTTGTCGTTATTACTTCACCACTTGTGAAGCCATACATGGATCCTCTATAGACTGTAATATAATTCCTATTGCTCAGGCCCTGTACTTTGTAATGTGAATACCACCTCCTAGCTTGACCTTGCTGGATCTCGAAGCCTAAGAAAGGTCGTGCCTGGTCAGGACCAGGATGGACAGACCTCCAAGGAAAGCCAGGTTGTTGTTTCAGATGGTCTTGGTGGACCAGTAGGTGGCGCTCTTCTGTCTGGACCAGAATTTCCGAACCAGTGTCCCACTGAGGCGCCGTCCCTTCAGGTGGGGCGTTTAAACAGAGGTCTCGACCACTTGGTCACTAAAGATGCAAGGGCACTTTTCAGAGGAGGAGGTGTATTCACCCCAGTATCTTGTCTGAAGTCCAGTGTGGGTTTGTCCAGTCTGGCCTACCTGAAGATCCCCTTAGTTCAGTTACGGAAGCAGATTCTCTCCTCACTCCCTGATCTGTCGTGTAGAGACCAGCAGGTGGGGACAGCTCTTCAGTGGGGGCTGAAGTGTGTACAGTGCTCCGAGATCCTTTGGGAATGGGGACCGCGTAAACGTGAGGACATCTTCTTCTTGTGCCGATCTGGCCTGACACCAGCCCAACCCCCAGCCCCTCAGATCACAAACATTTCTTTCTCATCGCGCTCGGCTGGCACGAGCGGGCCTGCACGCTTCAGGAGCTGCTGCTGCTGCTGTGTCTCGGCTTCTGGCGGCCGCGCGCGCCTCACCAGTCTCTCTCTCTCTCCGTGCCGCCCAGGGGGACAACCTGCAGGCGCTGGCGGAGGCCACGGTGGCGCTGGCCGAGGTGCTGGAGCTGAAGGCGGACCCCACCGGGCTGGTAGAGGGCGCCGTCATCGAGAGCCGCACCGACAAGGGCAAAGGGTAGGCCCTCACCCGCACTGTGGGTTGCAAACTGAAGAGATTGGCCATGGCTCGTTCACACCTCGTCCTGTAGCGTCTTGGATATACTGGATGCTGTCAGCTAAGGGGTCAGATAGAAATTGTTGCGTGCAGTCACATAACGGCTGTTACGTGTTACATGGGTTCCATTCTGAAACCGTATACGTTTTGCATTTTAAGCAGGTTTTCAACTTGAATTATGAGTTAGCAGCACAACAGGAAATAATTATGACAACAGAACAGTAGTGGTTGGGCTCTGGAGTAAGAAAATGTATTGGCATTTGTGACAGAAAAACAAGGCTACTGGACGCAATATGGGAAATCATGACTCGTAAAAGCTATTTCTAGTGGATATTGTGGGAAAAGATGTATTTTGGTGTCCCTGCTGTGCCACTAGTGGTGCATCCATTTTTCACACGGAGCACTTGGCGGTGAGCTCTGGCTCAGCAGGCCCGGTATCAGAGAGAGACTCCTTTCCCGGCAGCCCTGTCACCACGGCGATAGTCCAGCGCGGCGTGCTGAGGAGGGGCTGCGTGCTGGTGGCGGGGAAGGCCTGGGCCAAAGTGCGCTTCCTGTTCGACGAGCACAACCGCGCGGTGGCCGAGGCGGGGCCCAGTGTCGCCGTGGAGATCGTGGGCTGGAAGGACCTGCCCTCTGCGGGCGAGGAGATCCTGGAGGTGGAGTCCGAGGTGAGTGACGCTGGGGGGTCCTGTGGGCGAAGGCGTCCACATGAACATCCGGCGTGTTCGCACAGAGATGGACACCTCTGTGACCGTACAGATATCGTTGGGATTCCCCTACATTACTCTGACAGGGAAGGTTTTTTTTATAAAAGCGAGGAACGTGTTTGTTCCAGAATTGTTCCAGACACGCTCTCCCTGTTGTGTTCCTCAGCAAAGGGCGCGCGAGGTGGTGGCCTGGAGGCTGTACGTGGAGGAGCAGGAGAAACTGCAGGAGGACGTCCAGGCCATCGAGGCCAAGCAGAGGCAGCACCTGGAGAGCTACAGGAAGGAGCGCGAGAGCCTGGGCCACCTCAGCTGGCGGCAGAGGAAGTCGGCCATGTACAAGGCCAACAAACAGCGAATGGCCTCCAGGCCCAAGGAGAGGACTGAGGACGAGTTCCGCTCCCTGCCCCTCGTTATCAAAGGTGGGTGCTCTGGCACCACAGACGTCACCGGTGCAGGAGAGGGAGTCCTTATCAACTTGGTATGCAGTCCTCACAAAACCCCTCCCCCTACCTGTTAGGAAACAGTGCTTCAGGGGGAACTGCAACGCTATTTTTAAATAGAAAGAATCAGCATTGATGTGTGCATTTCAACCCCAATGAAAGTAAAATGTACACAGTAACTTCTAAAACCTCCAATTTACATCATGAAATAGACAAAATTTCCAGGTATGCACAGCGCCAATAAAACTTCCTGTGAGGTGAAGCGGCCTTATTTCACTGTAATCAAGCAGGCTTGTGAATACATCTCTCTTAATTCAGTAGAATTACTGCTCTCAGTTTTGAGACAGTGAGAAATTGGGACTGCAGCTGCCCTTTCGAACCAGAAGGGTCTAGGGTGTTTCCTGCAGCTTCAGGGGAAAGTGAAAATTGAGAAGGGAATCGTTTTCCTCACGAACAGGCGACGTGGACGGCTCCGTGGAGACCATCCTGAACATCCTGGACAGCTACGACGCCGACGAGCAGTGCCACCTGGACGTGGTTCACTTTGGAGTCGGAGACATCTCGGAAAACGACATCGGCCTAGCCGAGACTTTCTCAGGTAGCCCTGGGGGTGTGGAGCAGCTCACAAAGACGACAGCTCTGTGCTGAATTTCAGCCTGTAAAACAGGCCTGGACCCCAAGATAAAAAGGCTTAATCCATTTTCATTATTTCAGAAGACTTATATAGCTGTGTTCATAACGCATTCTGTAGAATTAAAGTTTACTGTAGCAAGAAAGTCGTTTTTGAAGTAAAACAACAATGAGTAGGGATTCTAAATGTACCCACTGTACTGGATAACTAGTTAGTACTGTACCTAGCTTTTTAGGACAGGAACAACTTCAATTGCTTTAGCTCTCTGTGACTGGCATAGTGAATTCCTTGCTTTGTCTCTTGTCAGGTGCCATTTATGGGTTTAATGTGGAGGCAAACAAATCTGTCCGTCAGATAGCTGCCAAGAAGGGAATAGAGCTCAAACTGCACAAGGTCATCTACAAGCTCATCGACGACCTCAAGGAGGAGCTGAGCAGCAAGCTGCCCCCCACTGTGGAGGAGAATGTGATCGGTACGTTAGAAAGAGTCCCCTAAAAGCACTGCTGGCTCCACCCCCTTGGTGCTGCATGCAGTCTGTAGCTCCCTGTATCTGTCCTGAGTAAAACCACGTGATCATACTGCTTCTTCAGAAAAGACACTTGCAAGTTTATGTTCGGTTGTTAAAACCGGGCCCCCGATGAGCATTTTTTGATTGAAAGCGTTTGGTCACTTGGTAGATATCTTGACTGCTGTAGAAATCTTCATGATGTAGTTCCCAGTGCTCTGTTGTACTGCTGAGGCTCAAGCGAACCGATGAACAGACTGGGAACGGCCCCAGTGCAGGTCCACAGCGCGCTCACTGTGCCCTTGCTGTGCGCGGGACAGGGGAGGCTTCGGTCCTGGCCACCTTCTGCGTCACCGTGGGAAAGAAGAAGGTGCCGGTAGCCGGCTGCAGGGTGAAGGAGGGCCAGCTGGACAGGAGGATGAAGTTTAAGCTGATTCGGGATGGAGACGTCCTTTGGGAAGGTACAGTGACCGCCTTCAGCCCAGCTTTTACAGAAAAAAACTTGTGTACATCAGTTTCCATGCTAAAGGATTTCCTTTGTCCAGATTGTCTCAGGATTCCATTTCTACAGCAATTTATAAAAAAAAATGCACTAAAAACCAAAACATGCATTTTCTTTCAACATTTCCTTTCCCCCCGGAGCATAACATGCATCAGCAGGTCAGTGTTTGGCCTTGTGGGCAGCTGGTTAGTTCCCTTCTGCCCGTCTATCACCCTGCTTGTCCCCTCCAGGCCACCTGACTGCTCTGAAGCACCACAAGGACGACGTGCAGGCAGTGAAGACGGGGATGGAGTGTGGCCTCTCTCTCGACAAGGACATAGACTTCAGGCCTGGGGATGAAATTGTGTGCTATGAAGAAGTGGAGAAACGGCAGCGCATCTCCTGGGATCCAGGATTTTAAGCCAGGTGTCTATGTAGACTCTTTCCAACATTTACTCAACAGAATTAAAAGCTGCAATCAAGGAATGTAAAATCCCCAATACGTGTTAAGAGTCTTAAATTAAACTAAAGACCATGGATGGTCTTGGTTGCAATTTTAATTCATGGTTTTCCTCCATGCTTTAAAATTATGCTGTAAATAATGGAGCTGATTGTATCCTTGTATTAAACCTTAAAACTCCCATCAACTGATTTGTGAATTTTTCCCTTACTTACAACTTGTTTCAGAGATGTTCGTGTGGATGTTCCATAGTGTTCAAAAACTTAATACTTGTAAATCACGAGCTAAGAATTTGTTTTGGTCAAAGAAATTTCACCAACTTGATCGTCTAGAGAAAGTTGTTGGATCAGAGACTCCAATTACTGCTGTACATTCAAAGAATAACATGGGGTTTATGGTGTTTTGACCAATTGGTTACAAGTTTATATTAATGCTTTCAAAGGTTCTCTCAAGCAATAGGTTTTTAAGGAAATTTAAAATAAAAACGAGAAGCTACTTTTCCAGGCTTCAAAGAATCCATGTTGAGATGGTGGTTTTAGATGGCATTAGCCCTGCCCCTTAAATCAAAGAAAACTATACCAGCCTTCAAAAGGTAATGGTGGTCTTCACAATTAGCTAAAAATTACTAGGAATAACTAAACTATAAAAAACTTTAATACCTTTGTTTAACCCCCCCCCCAAGCAGTTTATTGTAAAGAAGCACAAGGCCTGAACGGTTTGAATGTTTTATTAACTCCAGTCCGCCTGTTCACTTGTCCTCGGGCTTGTTGAAGCAGTAGGTGAGGCAGCACTTCCCGCAGTAGTGCCTGTCGAAGTGGCTGGCCATGAACACGCCGGCGCCGCACTCGTCCGCAGGGCACTCGCGCCGCAGGCGGTGGATCTTGCCGTTCTCGTCCACCTGCCGGGGGAAACCGCAGCCCGTCAGCCGGAGCGCAGCGGCACCCCCCGGCTGACTTCTCCTCCCGAGGGTGACCCCTCACTACACAAGTCCAAGTCACCCTGATCGAGTCGACAGTCTCACTTTGGAAAACCCAGAAACATCTAAACATCTAAATATGTGTACATATGGCAATAAACTACTCTACCAATTCAATCACCCCCTTATCTCAAAACATCCTGCAAAATCCTGGACTTGCAGTATTGGACAATGCAGCCGGGACAACACTATAAAGCAGAAGACCTAAGCAGTGCTTGCTACAATTATAACTCGTTGAAATTCACAACTGTGGGCCTAAGCTGGTTTCAGAAGGCTGAATGCTTTTACAAAAGACAGATCTCATCTTCCGGTTAAAATGATCAGGACAGCGGCCGTTTCCGAGGCTCACCTTGTAGTACTTGAGCACGGCCAGCTTGACCTTCTTCCTCTTGTGCTTGTTCTTCTTGGGGGTGGTGTAGGACTTCTTCTTCCTCTTCTTGGCACCACCTCGCAGCCTCAGCACCAGGTGAAGAGTGGACTCCTGCACAGGCACGGGCAGTCAGGTTAGTCACAGTACTCGCTACTGCCTGCCTTTTCCCCACTAAGTACGGAGCGAGCCAAAACCGACACCCCTCCTGTGATGGTACAAGACTAGGATCACACACCCATCAGTCTGTAACCTGCTCTTCATAAGCTGCCCTCACACTTCCACTGGACAATAAAAGATACAGTCACTAGTTTATGAACTACAGCTCAATCAGAGATTCACAACTGAAACTCAGATTTTTACATGCCTGTGATCTGGAAGACATACCAACAGTTGCCATGCAATGTACTTCTTGTTCACCACTCGTCCACAATTACAGCTCAAGAATAAATGTGTCAACATATAAGAAGCTAGACTAAACTATAGATAAAACATAATGGGGGGTGGTTCACATCTTTTGTTACACCTTGAACAAATTAATTTAAAAATGCTGCTGACCTCAGACAGATGTACATCGATTCCTGGTCCTCTCAACCTCATTGTTTTTTTTTTTTATTCGATGTTCTCAGAGCATGACAGCATCACAGAAAAGTGCTAGTATCACTCACAGCCACACCTACAAATCACTATTAAGGCAACTCCAAACTCCAGACTTGAATCAAGAAACCAAAGAGAAGGGTAACCTGCTGCAAGAACACAGAACACACGCACCTTCTGGATGTTGTAATCTGACAGAGTGCGCCCATCTTCCAGCTGCTTCCCAGCGAAGATCAAGCGCTGCTGATCAGGGGGGATACCTGAGGGAGATGAGAGGCTGGATTAAGCTGTATCCTTCAGTGAAAGAGTAGTCATTTACCCCCACACTCCCCTCCAGCTCCCCACTGTATTATGTTTTACATGTGCTTTTATAAAAAAAAATATTCATATAGATTTATAAAACTAAGCATTCTACAAAATCAATGTAAGAAGTACTAACACAAGGGGTTCAACAGCAACACGCCACTTCAGATTTGAACCCACAACCTCCCAGTGCATCACACCCGCTAGTCAACTGATCACATCAATACCTACTACACACACAGAGCTTTTACAAGAAGTACCTGTTGTCAACATCACAGGTATGGCGTAACTGAACAGTTTAAATGCAGTTTCTGAATTTCTCAAGTGCTTACCTTCCTTGTCTTGGATCTTAGCCTTGACATTTTCAATGGTATCAGAAGGCTCAACCTGCAGGAAAACGTCAATGATTTAAAAGACCTAAGAGCAATTAAATCGTCTTAACACTGTTAACTTTCACTTGAATCCTTAGCATACAACTAACTCATCTGGTACGTTGTTTTCATTTAATTAAACCAATCAATCTCATCAATATGAACACTTCATACCACACGTATTATCTTGTTCTATATCATACTACGTATGATATGTAACAAGTAGTCTGGACTTTACTTCCAGAAAGCTATAAAATACTTCAATGTTGAACAAAAACCATGTCTTTACAGCGAAAAGTCCATCAAGTGGAGCAATTATTCCAGCCTGAGAACCATCCCGACACAGGACGATCATAATCACATGGACTGATGTCTCTGTCATCCTGGTATGGCCTAGGTTTGGGGAACTGTTATCAGGAATAACCAGAATAGGTCTATAAACTTTTTACATGACACATTTTACAATATAAAATCAGTTCCGCTCGTTTCAACATGTCTACTAGCAATATTTCCACTGCTCGAGAATGAGAAACCCGAAATGCCGGGAGGGACAACGGCAACCACGTCGTCTCTTCCTATAAGATGTCATCAATACATATTTATTCGCCTTACGAACTGAATTACAGCTTAATGTGCAATGCTGAGCATTTGAAAACTGCAATACGCGAAAAAATGCGCGTCACAGTATAATCTATTAAGAGCTGCACGTGTTTCCGTGAACGGGACAGGTCAGACACTAGACGCAGCTAATAAAACGCAACTAATTAACCGACTTTAAGAGGATGTGTTTCCATTTTAGTGGATGCAAGATTTAATCAACATGGACAAAAAGCTAGCAGGCCCACAGACTTAATATTAATTCCTCTGCGCGTCTTTAAACACTTTTACTCAGCCGGTCAGTACACCCACCTCAAGGGTTATAGTCTTCCCCGTTAAAGTTTTCACAAAGATCTGCATTTTGGAACCAAATCCACCTACAGATGAGAACAGACAACGTAAGGTTTTAAACTCTACTGTAAAATAGTGCAATAACTTCTACATTTATTTAAGAATTTGCAATTTAATCTAGGAGCTCATACTCGCCACTAACCTCCCGCTAATGGTGGATCATGAGAAGAGGGCTTTCCATCCGCGACACGGGGTTTTCTGACCCACTGAGCAGGGGTTAGATGGCTAAACCACTGCCTGAAGGAAAATATGGACTGTGAATAATTTGGAAACAATCAACTGCTTTAATATTTTATTTTAAACTCAAGATTTTTCACACACATATAAATTCACAATTACAGAAGTATACTACAGATTCATAAAAAAATAGTTAAAACAAGGTTCATGGGAGATGTAGTTCTGAATACGTCTTTATTCATAGACAAAATACTTCTCTGATTTATTGTCCGCATAATTCTAAAACAGGCACCGGATAATCAGTATAAAAAATGAATTATCTATTATTTGTGCCATTGTTTCGTTTTCATTTATGACAGACCTGTACCTTCTTAAAATGTCCCACTGGGTGATAAACTACATTTCCCACAAAGCTTTGGAGGAGAGCGATTTCCTTAGCAACTACCTGGTTACCATAGTAAACTGAAGTGGCTGACGTAATGGATGTGCGGTCTTGGTTGTCATTCAACAGGAACGAGAAAGAATTTCTCAAGTTTGTGTAAAATAAAAAAAGAATGATTTAATAAATAGAGGTAGCGTAAATACGTTTCAAAATTTAAGTTGCTTAACTCATTTAATGTCGAAACCGATTACATTTTATGCCGACTACACTATTAAGGTTAAAAAATGAGCTGCGCGCGTTAAGATTTGTTGAACAAAAGAACATTTGCCTGTTGCATCAAAATGTGATCGTTTTAAATATGCCACATATTATTTATGACTCATTTTTGTTTCAGTAGATGGATGTATTTTTACTCGTTATAATGATCTTAATTTTTAAAGACAATTAGCGACGGCGTATTTTTGAACAAAATCTTTCTTGGCAACGTCTTTGAATAAGGCGGCTTGGTGGTGAAGTGGTTGAGCATCGTTAGCCACTTCACAGCTCCAGGGTGCTGGGTTCCAGTGTGACTCTGTCTGGTTTGAATTTGCACCAGCTGTCCAGATTCAGCGGAGTGGTTATGAATTGCAGCTCTCACTTAGAATGAGATGACTCTGTATAGCTTGAAGCACTGCAAGAGTCACACCTATACATAAAAACAGGGAGCAGATCTGACTCAGGAAACCAATTGGTGTTAACTCTATAACGAGTAAAGATTTGGAAATGATAGACCGACAGCCCATACAACCTTGGGCTTGGGTGTAAGCAGGGGTGTGACACAGGGACCCATTCCGGGCTCAATGCTCTTCCAGATCAGAGGATACGCGTGCACGGAGACGGACTGGTGTTCCTGCTGCCTTGAGCACCGGCCTGCCATGTTAGACTGTGCTGGCTGCACCTGGACTGCCTAAGGAAGAAGCAGTTCCTGAAAATGGATGGATAACCAATTCTACCTCCTTTCTGTTGCGTATTGTTAATTTAAATCTTTGTGGTTTGCATAGATATGTCAGCGACATCCAGCCCACGTGCAGCCCCCAGCACAGCAGTCAGGAAGTCAAGAGTCCTGCCCCCTATTATCTCCTCTTCTGACAGAGACTTCCTGGATGCTGTGTATGCCTACATTGAGTCTGAGAAGGAGAAGTTAGGATGTCCCAAGGAGGGGCCGGACGAGCAGCGCTACATCATTTACAGCTCTGCGTTTGAAAAGGTAGATTCCCAGCAATTTCCCGGAATCTGTTTGTCTCTTTGAGGGGGTACACTCTCCCTTCACACCAAGTGATCCAGTTAGCCAGATGTTGTTGAGCTCTGGAGATTTGTCAGCGGCCATATCACCCTGCAGCTCCCAGCTGGCAGCCCACTGAAGCTCAGCAGGTGTGAACCTGGTCAGTACCTGGATGGGAGACCTCCTGGGAAAAACTAAGGCTGCTGCTGGAAGAGGTGTTAGTGGGGCCAGCAGGTGGCCCTCACCGTGTGGTCTGTGTGGTTCCTAATGCCCCAGTATAGTGACCTGTGACACTGTACTGTAAAAAGGCGCCGTCCTTCGGATGAGACGTTAAACCAAGGTCCTGACTCTTTGTGGTCATTAAAAATCCCAGGGCATTTATTGAAAAGAGTAGGGGTGTTTCCCTGGCGTGCTGGCCAAATTTCCCATTGGCCCTTACCAATCATGTCCTCCTAATAATCCCCACCTCTGAATTGTCTTCATTACTCTGTTCTCCTCCCTGATGTGTGCGGAGTGTACTGGTGCACTCTGGCTGCTGACGCATCCTCCAATTGGGACTGCACACTGGTGGTGGTGGAGGGGATCCCCATTACCTGTAAAGTGCTTTGACTTGAGTGACCAGAAAAAGTGCTATAAAAGTGTAAGGAATTATTATTATCTCCTTCTACGTTGTAATTTCATTGAAATCTGCTTTCCACAGGTCATAGACCACGCCACCAGTTACAAAGCCATTCTCAGCACCATCAAGAAGGAGTACGATGGCTGCATTAGTGCTATCAAGAGGAGCCACAGAGATGCCAGGCTGCTGCACAGGAAGCTCAAGGTCACGGCTGCCGAGCCCACGACACTCATGTACTGTCAGAGAAGAGCTGTTCAGCTTCGGGAGAGGTGGGTCACGCAGTCTGCAAACACTGCTCGGAAGAGCCTGATTACAGGACATTCACACGTGGAGTCCAGCTTTCCCCGGAAAGCCAGGAAAAGAGGTGTTAACTGGCCTCGATGTACTGTACTTCTCCCAACAGGATTGAAATCATTCAAAGAGACACAGCTGAACTGCAGGCTCAGCTCGAGAAGCTCCGGCAGGCCGGGAGAGAGACCAGCCCCTCGCTGAAAGAGGAAGCCTCTGTGAGCGCCGAGGTCAAGCCTGTTGGGCGAATACCTGGTACTCCATGAGTTTTCTCAAGTTGTTCATCTTGCTCTGCAAGAAGCTAGGAGACTGGAAATAAATAAATCAACAAAAACTGTTAACTGGTTATAAGTCTAATTTACCGTGTTATACCTATCTGATTTTTTTATTATTGCAAACGATTGCTAGCTGATGCTGTGTTAAAGCTTGCCTTAACTCAACTGAAAGAACCCAGTTGTTTAGTAGTGGAATTCAATTTTTACCGCTTGTTGAATGGAGTCTTGCAGAAAGGAACACAGGAGTGAATTGTACATAATTTGAATACTGAGGCAAACAGTTTCTGACGCGGACAGAACGAAAAGCCGTTAGGGGACGTAACATCATGTTCTCCTCAACAGGGCTGTCGCTTGAGGAGTCCATGCGCCCGGACGCCCTGACGAAGCACCTGGAGTACCTGCAGAGGAAGCGCACAGAGCTGCAGCAGAAGAAGAGGACTCAGTGCGTCCCGGCGCAGGTGAAGGCCGACCTGGACCTCAAGATGATGAGCACCCTCAAGCAGAGGGATGAGCTGGCGGCCGAGAACGACAGGCTGAAGCTCAGGTGCTGTACAGACGAGAGGAGGTCATGTGGCCCGTTTCGCTCATGGTGGTGGTTCAGCAGCTAAGTGGATCTAAAATTTCAACGAGTCGCTTCTTTAACAAGCTCAGAGTCTGGGCCTCAGTCACCTGGCTGGGAGAGCTTTCGTAGGCACCCACAACTCTTCGTGTAAAGAAATGTTTCCTATTCTCTCCTTGGTGACAGTGCTATGTTTGCATGGTCTTCCCAGAGTTGTTGGGAAGCATGTTCGAGTCATCCTCAAGTATTTAGTGCTGTCCACGGAGAATCCATATTTTCATATGTCTTCCTGTCCGGATGTGTTCCCTATCTACATATTTTCCACGTGAGCCCTAGCTGTGCTATTTGTCATATCTATATCCTATCTGCCATTTGTCCTAGATATGATTCTTCTTTCTAATTTTCACCATGTTATTAACATTTACTTGTTCCTCTGTAGATATAAAGTTTTACAATGCCCTTTGTTGGCACAGTGCTTTTGAAAAGTCTGATGTCTCTTTCAGAAGGCAAGTTACAAATACAGCCTGGGCTCACGTGCTGTTTTCTCTCGGTGGTGTTCGTAAGGTACAAGCAAATGAAGCTGCTGGCAGAGGCAGTGAGCTGCTGGGGAAAATCTGACGGAAGAATGCCGCTGCTGGACTTCATGTCCCCAGTCCTGCATCAGGCCTCCGAGCTGCACGGTAACCATTCAGAGTCTGTGTGATCCATGAGTGACGTACCCCAGGTCCATGAGTGACGTACACCACTATTACAGCCCGTTTCAGATCTTCTAAACAATCCCCTTCTGGACATCGATAGTGAAAACATTTCCGTAATGTAATAAGTTAACATCTAGTAAAGGCTGTGCTTCAGCATAAGGACGTCTGTACATGCTGTCTTTGGTCATTTATCAATGATTGGAGCAATAAGGTTTTCAAAGAATAACAGTGTGTAAAAAATGCAATTTGATCGTCGCAAAACTAAAGCTCTAAGACACAAATGTTGAGCATTTACAAACGGGACTTTCTGAATCGAAGTGGGAGACGTTTCTGTGTATTTGAAAATAAGAGAAAGTACAATTATTTTTTTTGGGGTCATTAGCCTGATAAAATACAGCCTATTCAAGGGTTACAGCTTATTTAAACCAATTGCTAATCTGAGGGTGGATTTGTGTCCTGATGTTGTGATCACATACATAATGGTTTATTATTCCTGCTTTGTCCTAGCCTGTGATTCTGACTACCAGAACATCGGCACAGCTGGATTTGAGGAGGACGACCCCAGCAAGGTCAAAACATCTGAACTCTTAGTAGACTACATTGAAAGGTACTTTATAGACTCAGCATAATGGGTGATATAAAATGATTAGAAAAATATTCAGCTGTAGTATGGGGAACTATATTCTATATGTTCATTAACACTAGTGATCTTAATGATTTTATCCTTTCTGTTTTGTAAGACGTTCTAGAGTCTGTACCCCCTTTCACATTTCTCAGTACACAAGAATGATGTTTCTTTATCTCCTTCCTCTCTTCCTTTTTTATTAACCTCACTTTCCTGCCATCAGATCAGATAGTAGATATTTAGAACTGCACTTGGGCTGCAAAGGTATTTTTCAGTTTAATTTGCAGACTCCTCTCTTTGAGCAGTGGAAAGCTATACAGCAGCCTGCACTGTTGCACGTGGGTTATCACACATGGTGCTGGTTTCCAAAAGCTTCTTCCTGTGTGTCTCAGATCTTTGTTCCTCGTGACCTTATTTTCAAAACGGGCTTCGATCTAAATGCAAGCAATTAAAGACATGTTAAACATAAACTCCACTGCATCATCCTCTTAGCATTGTAATAATCTGTTACTATATCCAGTATATATATATATTGTATATTCACAAACTGAAATTTAAATTGAATTTGAAATTTTAAAGTAATGATTAAAGTAATTTCATAAAAATACAAAATCAGCGAAATCTGCAAAAATATTTGAAATTGTTTTGCCATCCCAATTAAAATGATGATGCAAAGTTCATGTTTTCTACCTCACCCAAACAACAAAAACAGTCACGAGTTCGTATTGCCAGTGGCCAGTTTATTTGAATTTATCCTTTGGGTTCCTCCTGAGATAGAGATAAATTCCTTGTGAATCATTTTCATGCAGCTTAAACATTTGATATGATATTTATCTTTTTTTATTTCGCTTCGTAGCGCAGTGGTCAGAATTGTTGCCTCAAGCTGCTGGGGCCCTGAGGATCACTCCCATAGCTCTCTGTGTGGAGTCTGCATGTTCTCCCTGCACTTGTACGGGCTTCCTGCCACAGTCCAAAAACACACTGGCAGGTTAACTGGCTTCTGGGAAAACTGGCCTTGGCGTGAGTGTGTCTGTCTGCCCTGCAGAGCACTGCTGTCCCATCCAGGGTGCACCCTGCCTTGTGCCCGCTGCTTGCTGGGATAATAATGAGGTCATTAAAAATCCCAGGGCTTTTATTGAAAAGAGTAGGGGTGTTTTCCTGGCGTGCTGGCCAAATTTCCTATTGGCCTTTACCAATCATGGCCTCCTAATAATCCCCATCTCTGAATTGGCTTCATT